AATCGTTGAACTGCAGATAACAGTCAGCTGAAGTGGCCTTCAGTACTGCACCCTAACCACTGAGCCACCTCAGCTCTTTTTATTATTTGTCAGCATCCCTCAGAAATGCTTATTTGAACACACTAGCTAATGTAGTTTTGGAAACGGGATAATTTTACTGCAAAAACAAAAATTGGCCATGAATCCTTTGAGGGAAAAAACCTACACTTTCCCCTTCCTCTTCCCTTTATTTAGCTTGCTTATAGCTCTGCTCCCGAGATGAATACTCAAATGCAATCTGATTTCTTCCATTGGGTGTCCCCAAATGCAATTCATCAGTACAAGGGGATCCTCCATCTTCTGCTGCATTTTGGATGGACTTGGATTGGGGTGTTGTATCTTGATACTGGCAGAGTGACAGACACATTGCTAAGGAACGTGCTTCCCATGTTTTCCAAAAGTGGCATTTGTTTTGATTTTGTATCAAAACTGGCTGCAGGATTCCTTGATAATTTTGATGAAGTGGTAGAAGCAGCTGGGGAAACAGTCCAACTTCTTTTGACCTCCACAACTAATGCAATTATTGTCCAGGGTGAGTTTCAGATACTGTTTAATTTAAGGAATCTGCTCAAAGTAGCAGAAGTTGCAGAAATACTACATTATTTCAAAGTCTGGATTACGACCGCTGATGTGGATTTCACTTCTGTTCCCGTACAAAGAAGCTGGGACTTGAATTTTCTTCATGGTTCGATATCTCTGGCAGTGAATTCAAATGACGTTTCTGGATTCTACCAATTTCTGGAAGAGAGGAACCCGCTATTGGTGAAAAACGATGACTCGTTGAGAGAAATCTGGCAACAAGCATTTAATTGCTTCTTCCCCAGTTTTACCAGTGAAATGACAGATGTGGACATCTGCACTGGGAAGGAGCAGCTGGAGACTCTCTCAATGACTGTGTTTGAAATGCAGATGACTGCTCACAGCTACAGTGTCTACAATGCTGTCTATGCCATTGCGCATGCTTTGCATGCGATGAAGTCCTCAGTGTTCAACCAAAGGTCAAAGATAGACAGATGGAGACAGAGCCTTAATCAACAAGCATGGAAGGTACTGTCAAAACTATTTGTGTCTCGCAACCTCTGTGAATGAATTATTCAAAAATATTTTGGCTGTTTAAGGATATCGCCTTACACAGTCATGAGCTTTAGAAAAGCAGTATTTTTTTTTCATATAGAATATATTACAGAATATATTACAGTATATTTTGTATTTTTCACTAGTGGCTTATTATTCTGTGAATATTTGCTATTATACTTACTTCCCAAACTTCATTCTGATCAACTAAAACTAAATGAAAAAAATGAGCATACATAAGCAAATCAATGTTTATGTGTTGATTTTAGATAGATGATAGATAGATAGATAGATAGATAGATAGATAGATAGAGATATATCAATATATCAATCTATCTCTATCTCTATCTCTATCTCTATCTCTATATCATCTATATCTAGGTAGGTAGGTAAATAGATATAGATAGCTAAATAGCTAGATAGCTAGATAGCTAGATAGCTAGATAGCTAGATAGCTAGAT